AAGAAATCTAAAGCATGCAAATGAAGAAGTGCTATGCTGAAACTGCTTGCTCTTATCAGATATTTTTTTCTGGGCTTAGGAGACTATCTGTATGTCCTTTCTCTGGTGCCTGCTTTTGTTACACCTCATCTTCTTTATGTCCAAGCAATCTTACATAGTTGTTGGTGCAAAATGCCATTTATCCTGTACCAATAATGCTCAGGTATGCTAATGGAGCAGAGTGTCCATCTCTCCTCGGAAAACCTTCTCTGCTCACCAAAATGCTCCTCTTGTGAGACAAACAAACAGATAGAGGGATGAGAACAAAAAGTCGTAGGAATGCAGAAAGGATGAGGCAACCAAGAGGGGTGAACTTGGTGATGCATTAGTCTATTAACTCAGATGCCAATAGAGCTGTGCAAAACCTCAAGGTCCTACCAGACAACAGGGTGCCATGTTAATGAAAGAAGTTGCTTTCAACTGGCTACACTGAAGCTTCTTCTCTTCACCTTAAGCATCACTGTAGCAGCAGCAGTGGAGAAATGCAGATTACTTCAACTTCAGTTACTTAGCTTCTGTGGCCAATTCCTTTCCACAGCTGTGCTCACTGTACCCAGACTTTCTACATGGTCATCTAAATCTCCTAGTCAAGCCTGAGCACGCTTATTTTCCAAAGCAGGCAAGAATAAGATTTATTCAACTTGTTGTGGGTGAGGCTTACTGAATTTGTTACTGTGGCAGTCCTTCAGTGAGACCTGCGGCTCTCGGTGACTCCCTGCAATGGACTTAGCTTACATGACACTACTGAGACCTGCATTGCAATAATAAGCCGTTGGACTGATTGTTTATTATACATAATTAAGATGTTGGTTAACCATGACATCCAGAATGAACGTTAGAACAAAGACACTATGCTAAATCTGGAGCAGTATTCCAACCCATCAAGATATCAGTGTGATTGACAGATCAGATAATCTCTTCAGTAATCCTCTGAATTCTAAACACAGACACCCATAACTCAATGGCAGATAAGAGCACACTGCGGTTATACTCTACCACAACAGAGAACAGAGTTTGGTTGACTGGCTTTATTCACTCACTGTTGGCACAAGGTTCTTCCAGCATCTCTGTAAAAATAATGTTTCACTGTAACTTTATTATAGTCTGGCATGTTCATTAATATCAGTGAAAAATTCTTGCAGAGATTCTGCTTTTAATTTTTTTATAAGGCAGTAATGATGTAATAAAGATTAATTAGTGTAAGTTATAGAGTCTGAAGTGTATACCTTCAAGCTGTTAAATGTGTCAGTAGAGATCCATTATGACAGCAATGGGCATATTATTCTCAATAGGGATTGCTCTATTTGCCAGTGTGAGATGTGTGCTTGTTATTAAGACAAAACCAGTGAGGGGGACTCAGATTTAAAGGCAGCTGAAATAAGAGCCTTGCTTTACACAGCATGATAAGCCTTGATTTTGTAAACACTATTACTTTGCTTTCATTACATATTCCTGCTGGTATTATTTCAGGGCATCAGCTATTTTATAGGCTTTTATTTGTCATCATACAAAATCAGGCCAACAGAACATGCTTAGCACTTTGCAGCTAGAACAAAAACAAAAAACAAAAAACAAAAACAAAAAACCACACATCTTGATTTATGAAATACAAATACTTGAATTTGAAATAGGATCTAGGTCTAGATGGCCCATCAGGATTATTACTACAACTACCAAGTTATAACAGCCAGTTCCATACAAGGCTAACAACACATCTGTATGTTTGGGCGCTCCATAGCCCAATCAAGCAGGCATCCACTCACCGCTGGATCACTGTAGCACAAGTCCATCTGTGTCTATGAACCTAAGTTGACAATTTAGCTGTATTCCTACCACCTCTTTATTCAACATCTTTTTTTATTCATTAGAGGATTGAAATTGATTTTAAGTCTCTTATCAACATATTTTTAAAATAAAGATGAAATGCAGCAGTAGGATATTTGCTGCAAACTTACTATTTAGATGTGAATAAATAAACTATTTAGTTGTGAATACCAATAGCAAACACATTTCTCAGAATAACTTGGATGACAGTTTAAAAAGTTCAGGGCTTGAACTGGTTTCCAAATAGGCTGAAAACTGCATAGGGATGATGAGTCCCTTCAAGTCTGAGGCGCACATCTGCAGGCATTGAGAAATTCTCCACAACCACCAGGCTCCGGTGGGACCAACCACATGACACACACAGCTCTTCTCCACATCCCACATCGCCGTACTGAAGGGTTGTCATTTGTTTGTGTTTCTCAAAGGGATATTTTCCAATGCATACCCAGTAGTCGTTTCTCAACAATGTGTTTTTCAAACATGAGGTTTTATTCACAATTTTCCTGTGCACAACCTTCCTCTAATTTCGTGGGAGTACAACTTGGCTAGGACATTGGCCTTTATGGGAGAACATGCAGGCATCAAGATTAGCCTTCCTTCTCTCAGTTTTCAGTTTTGTTTGTTTGCTTGCTTCTTTCCAAGTTGTAGTTTGAAAAAAAAAACCTCACAGTCTCACTCTTCTGTGACTTAAAGTTGAATCAGAGAATTTTCCTCAAACTTTCAGAAGAAAAAAAAAGGTCTTTTATGAGGAGCATCAAAGCTTTCAGCTCTAGAGAAGTTTGGGAGGAATTTACAAGAACTTGAAACCTTGGAGAAAAAGAGTGCCACGAGTGACTTTCCCAGCTCTGGAAGAAACGTGGTTCCTGACACCTTTCATTTCACTCTGCAGACCTGGGCCTCCAGTGAAATCAAATGTCAGCTTTTTTCAGAGCAGAGCTCAAGACGAGATCCCCCCTACACTTTTTGCTGCCTTCCTTTGTCTCATTCAAGCTCACTTCGCAGTGTATACAAGAGCACAATACAAGGGAAGGAAAGCAGAGATGGGACGTGAGAAAAGGAAAGAACTCCGCTTTCCCTTCTAAGTGAATGCCCATGGAATCTCCAGCCCACGGATTCTCACCTCATCTGCTCTCTATTGGACAACTCCTGGCCCAAGAGGACTCTTCGAGAAACCTGCGAGGCTCATAGAACATGAACTCTGAAGTCTAGAAGCCATGTTGTCTCAAGTCTTGGATTATCTGCTGCTTGAGAACTCAGCAGAGCCTGAAGTAGGACAGCTTCTCATAGCTAGACTCTGATTCTAAAAATCCAAAGTAAAGCCTGTGCCTATATTTATATACGTAGGAAGGAGCTATTGTTACTGCAATATGGCCAGTCCTGGATCTTCAGCTACAGCTGCTACTGGTGACTGTTGTACTGCAGATTAGCGAGGCTTCTCAAGTGCCACTTTTTGGTTTGCCCTTCAGTACCAGAACAACAAGAATTACTTCTGTGGTGTTGATTGGCATCCCCTCTGTGGAAGGTGCTAAACAAAGAAACAAATATCCTCTCCTTCATATGTTTAGATTCAAAATTAAGACCAAACTATCGTAAGACTTCTTTCCTTGCAATCTGAAGTCTGGGACTCAGCACTTCTAAACTACATCCCATATGACTTTCCATGAATAAATTGTTCCTAGAGTTCAAGACATGTTTGTTTGCTTCATGTAAATCCAGGAAGATACATGTATGAACATGTATTTACTGAAGATCACATCTGTGCTTTGATGTATTTGTAATTAGATGCACAGTTTCTCAGGCTGTTACAGAAGACCTGCGTCTAGCTATGACCCACTTAAATATTCCAGCCATGGAGTTTCTTTTCCTTTTTTTTAATTTAACCTTACCATTGCCATGATTTGGATCTATGTATTTAAAAAAAATACCTGAATTATGTGCATTTTACTGTGAATGAACCTATTCATACTCCTCAAGTAATCAACTGACTATAGAGCTTATAATCATGAGAGAAATTGAATTCTCAATTAATGTTTTCAAAGTTGTATTGAAGAATTTTTCCACTGATTACACTTACCATTGATTGAAAGAGATTTTAATCAGTTCAGTTGTTTTTTAGGAGGCTTAAACACCAAAAAAATGCTCATCTCATGTAAGAGTATTTGCATTAGAAAGACCCTTAAACAGATGAACCTTAAAATTCCATCTTAATTTACCTTACCTTGCTATCTCCAGTGGAAAGATTTAGAAGCAGTTCTCGTTTGAAGATACTCTGCACCATAATTTTAAGCACATAGGCATATCTATTTCCTGTTAATAAGCATCATACAATTTTAAAATTTAATCTCTGGGATTGCCATAAAGTTCAGCTAGTGGAAATGCGGTACTTACCTGAGTTCTTATGCATTGAGCAAGCATGGAAATGAACTACAAAAAAAATAAAAGCTAATAGCTTATCAAAATTAAAACTCAAATGCTTAATTTCACTACATAACAAGTAAGCTTTGTGAAGTACTATCAGTTTATATATTTTATGTGCTTACAGTATTTTCCTTTGTTGTTTTTTTCTGGAGAAACTGAAGTCTTATATGAGAGCTGCACTGAAAGCAGTATCTGCTATTTCATTATGTCGGCAGCTGACGTCAGAGATGGATGTTGGTGGCATGGTAGTATAAGCTGAACTTTCCCACTGATGTTCTGCCTGTGTTGGCCACGTGACAGATGGCAGCAGACTTGCAGTCTGACAAAACAGTGTCTGACGTGGACATGTATATGGAGCAAAGGTGTGATATTTAATTCCTTCACTTGCAAAAGGTTTCACCTATGGACATTCATCTAAAGGAGAGTTTTGGTGAGACAGCATGAGCTAGTGGCCCTGAAGGCATCATCATTGCATAGCACAAAACAAGCAGTTGCCTAGATAGGGACTTGAGACAACCTAGTGACTGGCTCCATTTTGGGAGCATGATTTCATCCCAGAGATGTCTTCCTGCCAGTCTGCCTACCCAGGGTACATGCAAGTGTGCTTCATTAAAAATACTGAAGAATCGAGTCTCAGTCCAAATGAAAACTGAGCTGTAAGTCAGTCATATCTGGCCTGTAGAGTATAAGATCACAGTATGTGGTATGAGTTGATATGGTCCAAAACCACAGTGCTTCTCTGACTTTCACATGAACACTAAGAGAACAGTCAAGTCAAAAATTCCACCCCAGCAGGGAGCATTTGCTTTCTCTCAGTCTCATGTGTAGTATGAACGGGCTTACAAAAATATGTGTAATTGGAGCCCTGGAAATTCAAACTTCAGTAAAGGGCCATTGTCAAAACACAGTAAGTTCATCTTCAGGTCCAATACCTTAAATGGTTCTTTTGTGCAGAAAAATATATTTGTTCAGTAATCACAGTGCAAAAATCTTCCTACAAGAATCTTGAATAAGATGAGCTGTCTTGTATGAGATGTTCTGTCTTGTAATCTTTTTAACACCTTGAGTCCGTGAGCTGCTATTTGCTGTCAGCTCCAGAATCCTGCAATATCATGAGTTCACCCTTCTGTCCAGCACAAGACAGGGGATGGGCTTTTCTTCCCTGGCATTGCAGTGCTGTACCTGAGGACAAAAAGTATAACATCTGTAAGTGTTTTGATAAATCAGCTCCTCCAATGATTATTTTTTATTAAAAATCACATGAATTTGAAGCAGTTGTGTAGCATGAAAAATAAATTATCAGAGAAATTGTGAAATATACAAAAGATTCAGGTCACAGGGTCTGGCAATTTCTTTAAAATTTCACACAAGCTGAGATGACAAACAGATGGTACAGTTAGCAAAATCTAGAAGGCAAAATATAGCCCCTGTGTCGCTATAATGATGCCTCTGCTTATCACAGCCTATATTTTAGATCAACTTATAAGGTATTTTTCTAAATCATAGAACTCTCTTGAGCTCTATTTGCTAAAGACAAACTGGCCTGCTAAGATGCATCAGTCAAGCAAAAGATTAATTCCTGTTGTACCAAGTTGTTGTTTTTGGCACAGAAGTCAATATTTATAAGACAGAAAGCAGCTGTAGTGTGCAAGTTAGCATAGTGCATAAATCTTTGCAGCAGGTTATAGCAAGATTATGATACTATCCACAGGTAATACGATGGAAGTGCTGCCACAACAGAGCTTTCCTAATGGTGGCCATCCATTTACCAGTGTGAGCTGAGCTAATGAGGTCACGTTGAATCACTTTGTGTTGTTTCCCCTTTGGAAGCAATCAGCCCACATATAAACCAGTCATATATTAGGAGAGGTCATCAGCACAGCAGTTCTGCAAAGAGTGAGCTGTTTGTACAGGACTCCAAGCCAGGTTCAGTTTTGCCTGGAGCAATAGGATGCATGGCTGCTGACAATGAGGCCTGGGATGCAGATTAACCCCCTTATCCCCTCGGAAGCTGTTGAAGGTGAAAAGCTGCTCTCGACTTTGCCCACAGTGAGATGCTTCATCCCACTGTCCTCCTCACACTGACACACAGGCCAGGGGACAGTGGGGAATGACAGAGTTAATTCTTGATTTTCCTTATGCTATCTTCCTCCTGCTCTGTGTAGCAAGACCACAGGCAGTGAGGGACTGGGGCTCAGTATCACCTGCAACTCCAGTAGACACAGTTCTGCCTTCATGGCAGGGGGTCAGAAGATATCCTCAAATGGGCACCATGCTCCCATCTCTTCCACACAATACAGCAGGAGCTGTGGGTGTTACCGTGGTGGATATTACCAGCCACTCTGCTTTCATTTACTGGTGGTGATGACAAGCCATGCACCGCTGCACCCCCCAGGGTTCAGAATACTGCATCTGGAGCACCAAGTATCCAATATCCTACAACTCCAAGTGCCTTGTCAAGCCCAGTCTATCCCTGCCCTCAGCTCCCACAGCCTTAACACAGTAGTTTCTCTTCCTTGTGGCATACAATGAGATCTACAGTGGAGCAGGTAAAGCTAATCTTGTGTGTGTGTGTGTGTGTGAGGTTATAGATTATCACTGCCATCAGCCTTTCTCCCATGATTAAATGGAGAATATTGAATTTCTTGTTACAGTATCCTATCCCTAAGACTAGATGTGAATGGAGTTCAGCACGGAAAGGTACCTGGATATTTTGCCTTCCTGAGAAGCTTGTCACACCAAATTTCAGTCTTCTGGCACTGCCCATGAGTGCAGATTCTCACCACGCAGTTTCAAGCTTATGGCTTTCTCTCCATCTTACTATTACATTCATTCTGACATTCTCATCCTTGCTTGACCAAATTATATGTGGTTTTAGGCAAAGATGTTAGAAATCTAATGTGGAATAGATGCAGATTGAGCCCACATGGGAAGCAGGAAATACGATAGAAATGTGCAAGTCCATTATATGAATTTATCAGCATGCATTCTACAAGCTTTATAAATTTCTCTAGCACGATCATCTGTTTCATTCCTAGAAGAGAAAAATCTAACAAATATGAATTTCTTGAAATAGGCGACAGAAAGAGATTGGCTCAGAATAAACAAAATAGTTGAAATTACATTTTCTTGGCAAGGTTTGCTTGTGTTGTTCATCAAATAAATGCACATTATGTCTTGCGCTGCTACTCAGCTGTGATCCCATAATGTGTTCCCTGCATCCTGTCAGACATATGATCCTTTGTCCCATAATAGACCCAACTATCTCACAACCAGCTGAGCTCAGGGTCATCCCAGGGTCAGGCTGGTTAAAGATGGCTGTCAGTTCACCGCCTGACTCACAGACACGCTTTAAATCACCTTTATCTCGCTTATGCTGATGCTTTCCAGCAGCTGCCAGAATAGGAGCTGGAGCACCTCTGTGCAATGTAGGGAAATACCTTGTAGCATGCCTGAAAATTTCTCTTTGGATCCACCAAGCCCAACACAACCAATGTAAAGAAAGTACAGCCCTATGTGTAATGCGGAATGAGGATTATTTCAAACATCTTTTTGCAAGGTGGCTGAACAGGAGTGTTCTCATCCATCTTGCAAATGAAAACAGAAACCCAGAAAGTGAAATATCACCTTTCAGATCAGAAATATAATACTCAGCCTGAAATTTCCAGCAAAAAGAAGATCTGAATAAGTAGGTCTGATAATCTGGGAAATGCATCACCTGATGTTTTTATTGTGATAAATACCTCCCTTCAACTCCCGATGCCATACAACTTCTTAATGTTTGTCACCAGTCTCCAAGGTACAGAAGAAAGACAGGCCTTAATTGTAAATTTACACATGCTTTATTGCCGGTGCAATGGCAGGAACACATTTAACAGGATTGTCATTCCAGTTAATTATGCTGATTCTGACATACACCTATCACTTCTAAAATTGATAGTGTCTTTCGACCGGGTAGCAGCATCACAATATGCTGTGCCTTTCTCTCTAAGGTTAAGCATGCAAGGGGCCAGGGAATGGCAGGAGAAGGAGTCCCTGCATACTAAGCAAGTGCTGCAGCTCAGCCTCCTCTTAGCAGAGAAGCAGATAGCTCAGAGCAGCACATGTTCCGCATTTCTGTGCATGCTTCAGCCACAGCCCACCTGCCTCAGGCAAAAACAACAATCTCCATTATGCCTAATAGTAAACAACACCATCCCAGACCCTCAGAAACTCAGCCCTGTTCACAACATGTAACACCAAGCATGCAGACAGCTGGTAGCACTTATTAAAGATATTAAAGCAGAAGAAAAGATGGTAGAAAAGGAAGCAACTGCTTAAAAAAAAAAAAAAAAAAAAAAAAAAAAAAAAAAAAAACACCTTTGTGATAAGAAAAAAAATCTATGTTTCCCCTGCAGCAACACTCTGAGCCTGTGCATCTTGGGATGAAGGAAACAAGGGAACTCTTGAAATCAAAAGCAAACCACCAGCATCAAATGGGAATAAAGCACCATCCTTCCTTTCAACAGTTACCTTTGCTCAGAGTAAAGCCTAATTTTAAATCCCCACATTGAAAAGGTGGTTAGAAATCTGGGGAAGTAGTACATCCCCTTTCCTCCCCACACACCCCAGTATAAATTTTGGGGGCCTTCCAGAAGGGAAATGGAGGTACACACTTCTCATATTCGCACCTGGCCAACAAGAGTAAGGTTTCAGGTTGTCTGAAAGGAGGAAGGGAAGGGGGAAGAGTGAGAGAGAAAGGAAGGGAGGAGGGAAGGAGGGAAAGAGAGAAGGGGAATGGAAGAAAAAGGATTTTCCCTCTTCTTGCCCCACACTAGCTTTGCCCTTTTGGCCACCCTCATCCTAACATGAATAAAAGCAATAGAAGCACTGCTCCAAGTGTGCAGGCTGGAGGATGTAAGCTCATCATGTGCTGCCAAGACTTGGAGCACCAATGACAATCTTAAAGAGCTTGTCTTAAAGATGTGGATAAACATATGGGAAATGTAAAGATGAACCTTCTTTTTTTTTTTTCTTCCCCCAAATTCTTTTAAATACAAGTGCAAGGTGTATGCAGAGAGGAACTCTTACCCCTCCTTTCTTCTGCTAAGAACTTATGCAGCTCTTCACTCTACAAGTGTACCTAGAGTAGTCAGGAGAAGGTATTTTCAGTAGTGACATTCTGGCTCAGCACATGTACTCCTACTCACAACCACAAGGACCTTCACACGTGGCAGCTGAAGGAACGTCTGAACTTGGGCTGGCAGGGTCGTGGGAGCAGAGCACCACACCTGCTGTGGGACAGACTCACTGCAGGCAGGTGTGTTTCCAAGAAGGGATGCTGACGGGCTTCATTCCTCTCTCCCTCTTCTCTTTGAGATCAGATACCATCTACAACACAGATAGTGACTCTGGGGCTGCTTCCACTACTCTTTTTCTGACAAAACACCTCATTGGAATAAGGCACCATGCTACAGAGGACCCTGTACAGCTGTGGGGCCAAATGCATGTGCTGCCCTCGAGGAAGGAGCTCCTGTCTTCTCCTCTCAGTAAATGCACACCTGAATGCAGTTAATATTTCTCAGCTTTGCCATTCATCTCCTGATGTTGGTTTGGTTTTTTTGTGTGTTTTTTTGTGGGTTTTTTTGTGGGGTGGGGGGAGGGTGGGGGGTTTCCTATGTCTAAGAGGAATTTTATGAAATAAAGATCTAAGGACTGAAAAATGTATGTGCAGAGGAGGAGGAGTGTGACAACTTTTGCAGCCCTTGTGAAAGGTTGTTTTGCTTGTAGACCAAAGGGGAGGAGGCCTGATCCTGCTCTTACTAGATAAGCAGATATCCTGCAGGCAAGCAAAGCTGGCAACAGGCTGAAATCGTGGTGAGAGTTGAAAAGCTTGTTTTTCTCTATGCACAACAAACCAGAATTGTTGACAGAAAAGCAAAAGAACATCTGCTCATGCTGATCTATGAAAGCTTTCCCCAGCTCCATTAACCTCCCTTCTTTGCTTGTCTCTCTTTCTCTAGGCTGAAAATTATCATTTAAGATGTTCGAGGCTTTCATTTCTCTATTAATCAAATTAAATCTCCTCAGCCACAGTTAAAACACTCTGAGAGGTGCTTTGACCAAATATCATTTGCCTTGCAATTAGAACTCATTTTTAATACAACAGGGGGAAATAGAGAAGCAGAGCTTTGCAATCAATAGAACTATAAATTACATGGAAAAGGAAATGGCAGCATCCTAGTTTTAAACAACAGATTTATTATCAAAGTGGGTAGTATTGTATCAATGGAGTACATAAGTTTTACAGAGAGAGAGAAGGAAATGCACAGACAGAAATCAATGTTAACATGGCTCACTGTTACTTTAAATGCTGCATATGAGGTGACTGATTTTCACTTCTTTTAAATCGTAAAATGTCACACTGAAAAAGTAGTTGCTCAGGAAAAAAAAATATAAAACCTGCAGTATTTTTAGGGCAAAACTATGCCAGTTATAATATGTGAGATCTGCGGAATGAGGGGTCTCATTTTATGTTCTGTATTCAACCGTGGTTACGGCTGGTTAGTAAAGAACCCTCTCAACAAGCTCATAGCTAAGGCTATGCATAAGATTTCCATCTAAGCCTTAATGGTTTGCACTTGTTTTGATTCACACATACTGGTCAGAGGGACGAAAACTGTTCTTTCTAGTGGTAGAAAATCTTTTAAGTGCTTTATCTTCCACTTTCACAAGCAGGATCCCCAGAGATAGATCACAACTATAATGTTAAAGAACTGAGGATCTGACCAAATGTTGCTTGTTGGGTTTTCATTGCTTCGGTCTGCAGCCTGCCCTTCTGCCTTCTCAGTGGAAAGCAGAGGATGGATTTTTGCTTGTTGTTCTGTATGGAGCCTAAAGTTACAGCCTGGTTCAGAGCCCACTGAAATGATCATGACTCTTTCTTTTCGGCCCTGGTGAAAATAGAGGCAACCTTCATGGTCAACTGTTTCCAAAACACATCACTGTTCTGTACTCAAAAAGGTGGTTTCATTGAGGCTGTCTGGATTTCTAGATCTACTTGTCTGCTTAGCAATCGTTAGAGCTCTGAGTCCTAGCAGAATTGTCAGTGTTTTTTATCTATTTTCCTTGTGAGCCTTACTGTGGCATTCAAAACCCCAGGGTAAGAAACATATAATCTGAAAAGAGAAAAGTTATCTTTACTGATGGATTATTAGGTTCAGTGGGCCTAATCTTCTGATTTGCAGACCTGAAGCTCAGGTGAGCCAAATCTCCGTGGGCAATGGGCCATGGTAGGTCCAACACAAGATCGATGCATGCACGGGGCCGGGTACAAGCCTCTGCTGACATTAAATCATTCAGTCTGGGAGCTGACTTGTAAGAAGCTATGGTAATGTCTCATTAAATTAACCTAAATTCTGAGGGAGCATGCACATTCACATGGATACAGTGGGAGCTGGGATTTACTTTCATCTTTATCCTCTTCCTCTTCTGACCAACATACAGGTCTTCTCCAGCCCTTTTTGTGTCATCATTGCCTGGTCTCCTAGCACTGTCAGAAGTGCAAAACTGAAATACATAGAGGAGGAGACTGAAAATGTAATGAACTGCAAAGCCCCCTGGGGTCTTAGTTGCCTGCAATGCCCACCTTCATGACTAAACATATCGTTCATGCTAATGCTGTTTGCTGGAAGGAGTGTTCCTTCAAGATAACGTCTCTGCACAGTGAAATATGCATGGCTTTTCGATGGCTCAGCTCAAATAGGATCACCTTTCAGTGCCTAGACAGTGCTATTTTTTAAATATTTTTTTCCCCAGCACAGCATGAGGAACACAAACTACCCCAATCAATGCACTTTGTTTTGTGATCCATCCATCCCCAGAACCATCCAGGAGTCCACTGGTATTACAGTGCAATTGGGTAGGTATTTCTTCCAAAATAGCCCAGTTTGGTAAAGTCATTTTCTTTGTTGAAGATTGGAGGGAATATTATACAACTAAGCTAAGAAAATAAAATGAGGCTTGCATAGCATTTCCAATGGAACTGACATTTTGCACATGAGTTTGTCAACCTGGTGCACCAGTCAAAATTTTAAAAAGGTTTTTTGTTAATAAGGAGTTTCAACTAAAACTGCGTGGAAATCCCTACCCTCATGACTTCCATAACCTTCACCGTTTTACAAAGCCGGAGGGAAACCTGAGCTGCACTCTCTGGCTCTCACTTCAACTCTCCGATGTGTCCCCAGATGAAGTCTGTTGTGCACAGCTGTGCTCTGCACCTGAGTGCCCACCGCTAGGCAGCAGTCTGGAGATTCCCTCTGCCCTGTTCCCCTCTCCAGCCTCATCCTCATCCCGTCTCTTCTCATCTCCTAACGAACCCGGCCTCCTGTGTTTTCTCTGCTCTTTATTCCATGTCACCGGAGCTGAGTGACTGCTGAAGATGAGAGGGGATGAGGAGTGTGAAGAGGGAAGCTCTTGCCTTTGGTCTGAGCCTGACTGGGAATGATGAAAACCACATGGGCTATGAAGAAGTCCAGTCCAACTTTTTGTTTACCGAGCTCCCTAGAAACATCAACATCTGTCACCACGAACCCCCTAAAAGGGGCACCCCCTTGCTACAGGACCCCGCTGGCAGCTCCTATCCCTCTTCCCCGAGTCCGGGCCGGGGCTCCCGGGTGTTGACAGAAAGGGAGGGAGGTTATCCGGGACTGGTGAGAGCTGTATTAATAGACAAAGCAGATCGACAGCGATGCCCTCCGCTCAGCGCTGCGGTGCCACGCGGGCGCGGACAGCCGCCGGGGTTCGGCTCAGCTCTCGCAGCCCCGCACTCTCCCGGTGCAGCCGTCGGGGCCGCCCCACCCCGGCCCGGCCCGGCCCGGCTCAGAGCGGAGCTGAGCACTCCGGCCCCTCTGCCGTCTCCCCTCAGTTATTGTCGCAGTGCACACAACGAATTTTCCTTCTATTAGTCATTTCCCGAAGATCAAAACCGAGGACAGCTGCGAATGCGATCGATCCCTCCAAAACTCCTTAGCCAAGCATTCCATCAAAGTAGATATTTCCTGGGATTTATTTCTTTTTTTTTTTTCTTTTTTTTTTTTTTTAATAATCGATAGCTTATTACTGGGTTTTGACTTGGTTTTCCTCTGGCCGGCTTACAGCCCGGGCTGCAATTACGCAATACCCCTCAGACCTTCGCACAGCCGAGCGGGTGGGACGCAGATACCGCCCTCCCCATCGGGGAAGCCGGGCCGGGGTTGGGGTCGTGCTACTCCCTGCCGCTCCGACACCTCCTACAGCTGTTCAGAGCGGAGCGCACCGTGAGCCCCTCTGTTTCCCAACCACCCTCTGCACCGCGTCTTACACCGACGAGAGCGGAGGCGAAAGTTTGGGGCTGCGGCTGGCCTCCTGTCCCCCCTCGCTGCTCCCGTTCTGCTCTCCTTTGGACTTGTATTTGTTTCGTTTGATTTATGGTTTTTATTATTCATTTACTTACTTATTTTTGGCAACGCGTTGGCTTTGTGTTTATAAACCGGACCCACTCAAAAACCGCGAAGCGCCAGTTGTTTTCACCCTAAGAGAGGTCGATCATCATTTGGTCACATTTTCATAAGAATCACCGGTGGCCATTTCACATCACGAGACACGAACTTTCAAGAAAAGAAGATCGGAAAGCCAAAAGAATTGTGAAAGTAATGTCTGAAACATTGAACACGGAACAAATGCTTCAAATATGGCACTGCCCCATTAAAAAAGAAAGGGGAAAAAAAAAAAAAAAAAAAAAAAAAAAAAAAAAAAAAGGGAAAAAAAAAGGAAAAAAAAGGGAAGAAAAAGGGAAGGAAAAAAAAAAAAGAAAAAGAAAAAAATGGCGCGGAAGCTTTTCTTCCGGGCCGATTTCTGCTCGTATTACTAAAATACGTCATTTTTTTGGTGGTTGCATGGTAAATGGGGCTCCTCACATGATTAGAATCAACAGTTTGGCCCCGAGTTCTTCGGAACTTTCTTCCCAGAGGCTCCCATTGATTCCAATGGTCTTTCTGTTCCTGAAACAGGAGTAACTGTGACCTGTAATATTTTTTGACACATAAACCATAAAAGAATAATGTTAACAGCGCGAGTCGGCCAAATGGTGTGCCTGGGGGAGAACGGGAATGTTTGCCTTGGAAGGGAGAAAAGGAGGAAGGAGAGGGGAAGAAGAAAGCTATGAAGAAATATTTGTGATCATTTTAGACATTATTTTGCTATTTAATTAAATATTATCCATTTGGTTATTTCTGTGGGGTTTTTTTGTTGGTTTTTTGTTGTTGTTGTTGTTGTTCTTTTGGGTTTTTTTCTCCTGTAGTTTAAGGAGCTGGCACAGAACTAATCTTCTGGAAGACAAGCAAGGAAGCTAACGAGAGAAATCCTCCGAAAGGATTCAATTCCCCTAATGTGAGCGGGCGGAGGAGCAGCCCCGTACGGGCGCACTCCCGGCGCTGCCGCCCAGCATTGAGCCCCCCCGGCCGCCCCGGGAGCCGCCTCCGCGACCGCAAGTCTCCCGCAGCGCCCCGGTGCTCTGGGGGGGCGCTGGGGGAGGTGGGCTGAGGGGCGATGTGCGGGGGGAAACCTGCTCGCCTCTACGGCCCGAACGTGAGCTCCCGTTAGAGAGGTGCTAACAAACCCCCGTTAAGCATGCGGTGATGTAGTGACTAATCTGCGTTGATCTCTGGCCTTCGAAGATTTCCTACAATTAGTAGAGACATCCAGCGCGTTTTGCCCAGATTTCTTCTTCTCATGGCCAGATTTATTATCATTATTATGTATTCTCACCGAGAACAGAGAGGGGGGCGAGGCTCCTCCAGCTGACCCTGCCGCTGCCGGGGAGAAGCTCCCAGCATCTCGCCCTGCCCCTGGGACTCCCCGCTTCTCCTGCGGGACGGTTCCCCGCAGCCCGGTGCGTATCTCCGGGACACCGCGGAACGACTGAGCAAAAAGGAGAGGGAATTACCGCCGCAGGGGAGACCGAGAGAGGGACGGAGAGAGAGGGATGGCTCTGCGATTGTTGCCTTTAGCGAGGCAGTGAGATTAACCACTGGGGCTTATTCTAAAGTGACCCATCACTGAATTCATTTCTGCCTGAACTTTCGGTGAACCTGAGATTAAAGAGGGGAGAGCAGCTAAGCAGTTTGTTGTTAGCTGCCTTTTCAACAGCCCTTTCAGACTGAGTAAATATTGATCGCTTTCAATCTGATTGCCCCAGAGGAAAACACCAAAGCATCTCAATAGCCTCCAAAAGTAAACTTTAAAGGTGAACAGTAGAAATGGCCTTAAGTATGATAGGAGGATGCTAAACTCCATTTGACATTCGAACGCGGTTTGAGTTGGGATGGTTGGTGAGGGAGATTTTTTTGTGAGTTGGGTTTTTTCTTTTTTTTTTTTTCTTTTTTTTTTTTCTTTTTTTGGTTATTGTAGTTGTTGTTGTTTTGGGGGGTGTAGGGTTTTGTTTGTTTGTTTTGGTTTTTTGTGGCTTTTTTTTTTTGTGTGTGTGTGTGTGGTTTGTTTGCTTGTTTGTCTGTTTCCCAGACATTCAAGAGAGAAAAATAGGGGAAAAAATCGGGTGTAAAAACAAAAGGTTCCCCTCATTCCGAAGGACAGCTGATTGTTCCCTTGGGCCAACTCGTGCTCTGCTCGTTGAGGTATTTCTGTACCAAAAACTCGTTCCTCCTTTCCCCACCGGCAGCACTGAGGTCTTGATCGTATCGAAATGATAACAATAAAAATATCTAAATGAGTTAGGGTCGGGAAGGTTGGGGGTGTCAGATTTAAATCGTTCGTGGCTGAGAAAAAAAAAATAAGATAAAATGATAAAGCGAAAAAAAAAAAAAAAAAAAAAAAAAAAAAGTTAAAGCATGGGGTTTGGCTCGGAAGGAGGGAAAGCTCTGTTGTCCCAGCTCCGCGCAGACGGACGCACTGCCGTGTGTCCCGTCCCACATTTAGGCTGTAATTTATGAGCTCTCTTCCCAACGCATTGAGTCAGCATCGAGGGAGCCGGCTCTCAGATCCGGATTCCAGCAATGTTTAGATCCAGATTTCTATATTGAAATACCCTCATTGGCATGCAAATGCCACTTTAACACATCCAAGTCTCTGGAAGAAGGCCATCTGGTTTGCTTTGTGGCTTTACACTAATAAACAAAAGGTAAAGTATATGGCAGGCTGGGAAATGAAAGAAATTGAGGCAGCGCTGGCGGGAGCCTTTGGAGACAGCCCCGCTGCCTCGCAGATAGCTGCTCTTGATATGGCCGCCGCGCCTGCAGATCGGGGCTTGTTTCTTTTGACACCGAAGTGAAGAACGTTTCGTTGGCTCCCGGCGATCCCGCACAGCAGAGAGCTCTGGCAGCGCTGCCCTGCAGCTATGTCGTGTCAGGCGGTGTCGTGCGTGGAGCTTCCAGAGGCAGCGGGGACTCCGGGCACCCCCCGGCACCCGCTGTCCCCCTCCCCGACCTCTATGCTTTTGGCACCTCATGGAAATGTCACACTATTTACCCTCAGTAACTTGTTAGGGCTTTCTCCAGAAATACGAAGGCAGCGGTTGGAAACGGGCTGGGAGCACCTAGGGGCCATCCCCTCCCCCCCGCCCCATCCCTTGGCAGCCCTTCGGGGTGGCAACGCTGGGCGGGGGGGACACGATGCCCGCGGTAATTAAATGTGCAGCCCTTGCGAGGGGCCTGCGACGTGAGGAAAGAGGACTCGAAGACAGTTTCTGCTTTTGAAGCGTGCTCTGTTTATGTAAGTGTCACCATCCATCCCGAGGTGAAAAGGTTAGCACTTGACCCAGGAAGCTCTCGTGTTTGTGCTTCAGAAATAGATCGGGGTCATAAATTCCTCCCAGTTACAGCGGAGGGCCACATATTTTTTCTAAAAATAATGCTGTTTGAGCATAGGAAAGGAGGAAGGTGCGTGTTTATGGGGCGGACCGGGCAGGCAGGGGGGGATGAAGCTGGGACCCTCCTCCCTTCTCCCCTCGGAAGTGCCCAACGGCGGAAAACGTGCGAGCCGAGCCGTGACGTGCCAGTGACGTCACGCAGAGGTAGACACACGAGGTATACCTGAAAGCGGAATATATTTATTACAGACATAAGGACCCGTAAATCCTGCTCTGGGTCCCAGCGGCGGGAACCGCAGAGCCCTGGTGATTGTACGCAACGTCGGGGGACGCGGCTCCCGCCCGACAGAGCTCCGTGTCCCGAGTACAGCACACACGGGGCGGCATGCAGCGGCCCGGACACCAACCACAGAAGTTATACATTCATTTGGCCATCCGACACATTCACGAGTGGGTCGAAAAGACATCGAGGCTAAAGGAGGGGGGATACGGAAACAGGAAGAGGTGAGGTCTGTGGGGCGGCAGTGTCCCTCTGTCAGGCACAGCCCAGCACAGCTGTATGGGGGAGGGAGGGACGAGCACACAGGGTAAGGTTTACAAAACCTAGTGCAATTGAAGCCTTGTTTGTCACGTTTTGGGAAAGCGCTACGCTTTGAGGTATCTGCTGGAGCTTAACACGTCTGCTTGATGCTGCCGTCAGCCTGACCGATAGAAAAGCGGGTCTGGTTTGGCGAATGCACTCACCCTGCTTCACCTGATCATCTAAACGTCTTCTCTAGAAAAATCTGTAAAAAGATAAATCTCTCGGACAAAGTATTTACAAGCAACAAACTCATAGACACGAACAAAGTATACATTAAATTAAAGGGTGAAAGTCCTAGAAGTCGTGTAAACACTTGCCATAGTGCATCTCTTCGTGAGGTTATGTACCCTCCATGACCTGTCTGTCAGCCAGTGAAACTCAGAGGAACATCCTTGCGGGGAGGAGGGAGAACCCACGCGTGTGCCAACGCAACTCCTCCGGCAAGGAGGTGAGGAGGGGGGAACCGAAATAAAACCTCTCGGCGGTAGGGGCCAGGAGCGGCCGGGCCGACGCCCCCGGGCCCGACCAACGGACGGATGGACGGACAGACCGACGGAGCACACCGCAGCTTGGGGGAGATCAGTTGGTGGCAGGACCCGGGTCTGAGGTGCAGGATGCGGGAGAGGCGCTGCAGGGCGACGGGCAGCACTTCTCCGACGGGTCCTCCGCCTTCTCCTCACAGCCCGTGGGGGTGGTGGGGGAGATGGGCAGCAGCCCCTCTTTCTCCCTCTTCTTCTGCTTCATCCGCCGGTTCTGGAACCAGATCTTCACCTGCGTCTCGTTGAGCTGGAGGGAGGCTGCGATTTCCACCCGCCTGGCCCGGGTCAGGTACTTGTTGAAGTGGAACTCTTTCTCCAATTCGGTAAGCTGCTTGGTAGTGAAGTTGGTACGGACGGTGTTGGGCTGCCCCACGAAGCCGTACTCGCCGGCCTTGCCTGTGAGGAGACAGGCAGCGTTAAGCGAGCGCAAATGATTTATAGGCTACGTAATCGATACGCCCGCAGCGGCCGAGCGATAGGGATTCCTCGGGATACGGGAGAACCCCCGGCAGGGTGAGTGATGGGGTGCGAGGTGCTAAACTCCCGGTGTCGGGGGAAACTCGGCAAGTGCTTTGTGAATTACACGAAATATGACCGCGGGAGCGGTGGGAGAGAGACCGAAGAACCGGCTCCCACCCAGCTCTGAGGGCACAAGACCCAGCTGCCCCCGCGAGCACCTGCACCCGCCTCCCCCCACCGCCCCGACGGCGGTGCCAGAGCGAACCGGGCCGGGCTGCCCCGCTCCCGCCGGCCACTGACCTGTTTTAGGGGGGTTCCTTTTAACTTTCATCCAGTCGAAGGTCTGCGCCGGCGGCGAGGTGTCGGCGGAGGGGGAGCGGGAGTTGTCCTGGTGGCCGGCGTGGAGGGGAGAGAGAGCATGGTTGTAGGTGCCCAGGGGCAGGCTCTGCTGCTCCTGCCCGTACGGGGAGGGCACGTACTGCGCGGGCCCCCCCGCGTAGCCCTGGTGCGGGTGCTGCGCTGCGGCGGAGGAGAGGCTGCCCGAGTAGACGGCGGGCGCGCAGGGGGGGAAGCCGCCGCCCAGCTCGGCGTCCTGCCCCAGAGCGTAGGGGCCATAGGCGGCGCCGAAGCCCTGCGCGCCGTACGTCGGGGGGCAGCCGGGATGCGCGTAGGACACCCCCAGGCCGCCGTGGTGCTGGTAGGCGGCAGGCTGGGCCGGGGGATGGTGGTGCCGGTGGGGACTGAGGGGCACCCCGCGGCCCACGAGGAAGCGGTCCTCCCCGCTGCAGCTGCCGGCGCTGACGGCGCAGGGTTGGAAAGTCGTAATTCCGTGCTCAGGGTGGTAGGAGCGGGCGGCACAGGCCCCCGCCTCGCCGCCGAGGACGGGGTACTCGAGGAAGGAGCTCATCCTCGCAGCGTGCCGCTGTCACGCCGCCGCCGCCGGGTCTTCAGCGTCCGGCGGGGCCGCGCCAACTTTCCCACTTCCTCCATGGGGCCGGGAGGAAAATGACACGAAGGTACCGCGAGCGGGGAGGCACGTGGGGGGCGGCAGCCAATGGCTGCGGCGCCTGCGGGACTTTCCCGGCTCCTGCCGCTGATAGATCGCCGCGTCGGGGGCATTTAAACGCCGAGCGCTCCGACGGCGCGGCACGGCGCGGCGCGGCACAGCGGGGCAGGGCGGCGGCGGCCCCCCGGGGGGCGAGGGGCAGGGCTGCTGCGCCGCCGGGGTCCCGCCCGCTGGTTGAGAGGGGAAGGCAGCGGAGAACCCGGCGGAGGAGTCCGGCCCGCGGAGCCCGGCCCCTCCAGGGTGAGTGAGTGAGTGAGCGAGTGAATGCCTCTGCGGCGGGCCCTGCCGGGCTGCCCCTACGCCGACCCGGCTGTCAAACTGGTGCCGGGCACCTTTGCCGTTCTTCCGGCTCGGAATGGGGAGGGCTGAATCCGCGGCATGGGGCGGGGGAGAGGTGATGGGGACAGAGCGGAGAGCACCAGCGCTAGGGACGGCGGTGAGGATGTGACCTGGCGTGAGGACGGAGACCGTAATGGGGATGCTGACGGGGATGAGGATAATGCGGGGGATGAGAATGGGGCCGCTGCTCCGGCTCCTTCGCAGAGCCCAGCGCGACGCGACGCCAAGAGTTAAAGGGGCTTGTCCAGCCGCATCACCAGGCGGCCGCGGACATTAGCATGGAAATGAGGCGCTTCGGGGACTGACGGCCATTGTGCTCTGCTGGGCACGCCAGCCTCCCCCTAGCCCGCATCTCCTCTCCCCCCGCACCTTCTCCGGACTTCCCCGCTTCAGCCGGGGCTGGGGTAGGGGAGGGGGAGTCGGGGGGCTGACGACGGGGCGGAGGCCCGCCGGGCTCCGCAACCCATCTGCCGGGTCCCCGCGGCGCGCTGCCACCCGCATATCTCGGACCGGGCGGGGGAAGGGTGCCCGGTGTGCTGCAGGTCGCAGGCCGGGGAGGCGTCCCGGTGCAGGGCCCGGAGAGACGCAGGAGACTCAGGGCCCTCAGCCCGACCCTTTTGTCCCCGCGCTTTGCCACCGCCCAGACCGGCAGTGGTGGGAGGTGGCAGATGGCCGGTGGCAGAGGTGGCCCCAGGACCCTTGGGAACAGGGCTGAACATCAGTTTAAGCTTATACTTCCCCACCCCCATCCACGGGTTTTTTAATTAAAAAAAAAAAAAAAAAAAAGAGTCCGTGGAAAGAAAAGGACGGGGGGCGATGGGACGTGGGTTGCGACCCCATATTCTGTTTACATATGCGGAAAGTGAAAGGGGATGCCAAGAGCGGGCATCCATCCGTCCCAAGGCTCTCGTCTATCTTCATGGAGAGGAGCTGGCACCAACAGTCGGTGCTCCTCAGCACCGACCACGGGAGGAGCCGCCTCCTGTGCTGCTGCAGGTGCACTCCCTGCTCTTCCATCGCTGTGTGCTCGCTGCTGCTTGCTTTGAAATCCCAGAGGTTCCCCCTGCCCTGCCACCTCTCCCTGCTCACCAACACACGCGCACACTCGCTCACCCACAAGCTCCTCCCTCCACTCGGAACCACAACATCCTCCACATCCTCCCCGAGGTGCGGGCTCTCCCGCTGCTCTTAGGTCAACCCTTACCCCGTGCCATCCCCAAGGCCTCTCTACAGGCAGCAAAAGCTGAAGGGCCGCTCTTAGGATTTCTGTTTGTTCTGATTTACTGAGCAGGCACGAGTGGATGAGGGCCCTCTGGAAATGTTCTGTTTCTTAAACTCCGGGAGGGGGAGGAAGGGAGGTCGTTGGGAGAGCGACAGCAACAACACTCCGGGGGTGTTTATGGCATTATACTGCATCAGTGTGGGCTGTGGTAAGGGATGGAAACACATTCATTTCATTCCCGTAAACCTGTTGTGATAAATATAGCATAAGGCAGAGCAAGGAGGGCCACTGGGACTGTTTACCAATAAAAGAGCTGGCATCCTTTCAGTGCTTTTTTTTTTTTTTTTTTTTTTTTTAACATCAGCCTTCAAAGAAAAAATATGTATTTCTCTGCAAATGGATCTGTTTTACCCTTAAATTCCGGCAAATTACAGCACCTCTTTTACAGTCTCCAGCATCCTGTAATCCTTTTTTTTTTTTCCTTCCCCTTTTCTGTGCCATTGTTGGGAGCAGCCCCCATCCCTTTTGTTGCATTGTCTCTCTCGCGATACTTTGGGTTTTCGCTGTCGATTCTGTGTGAGGGGCAGAGGCTGTAGGGCCGGGGGCAACCGCTGCTCCTCTGCGGCTCCGCTCGGGAACCGCCGTATCCTGCCCGAGAGTGAGGCCCACATTTAAGCTTTGGCGTGGGAGTTCTCCCCCCGCAGCGCCCCGGGGCTCATGGGGAGGAATTGAGACGACTCCTGATAGCTGCACCCCCACGTTTATTTAAATCGAGTTGGAGAAAAATTGGAATCTTGTCGGGGATTTTTATTCCTCTCTCTTTTTTTCCCTCTTCTTTTAAATTTATTTTTTAATACATATATTTTTTATTTTTTATGCATTGCCAGCACGCAGACATCGGGCCACAAAATGCCCCCGCACACGGCAGCCCGTTTCGGCCCTTGCCAAAGAGGTGCGGGGCCACTGGTGCCTCCCGCCCCGCGCAGGGCTGCAGCGGGAGGAGGACAGGAGCGGGGCAGGGGTTTCGCCGCGGCCGCAGCTCAGCCAAGCTGTTGTTTTAAAGGAGCAATAAAAATGAATTATGACTAAACGCCTTCTCACTTAATGGTTTTAGACGGGGATCCCCAGCCCCGGCAAATACGTAAGAGGATTTTTATTTGTGCATGTGTTCCTGCAATTGATCTCTTTGATGACATTCTCATTCATAGAAAGCGTTTGATTTATGACTTTAGGAAGAATTGCGTTCAGCCCTTCCAGCCATAACCCACGCATCCCGGCTCCACAACGCGGTGCAGAGCTGCGAGAGGGCTCTCCGTGCACGGACGGGCAGCGCTGCGCCGTTCCCAGGCCCCTGCTCTCCTCGCACAGGCTCCCCACGCACGGAGCCGCGGCTGCCTCCCCTCTCGCCCTCCTGGGAGCCCCCATTCGCGTCCCAGGGAGGGGATTCGCCCCGTTCGGGCCCGGCCGCACCGCTGTTCGAGGTGTGCCGGGGGTTTCCCAGCGCGGCTCAGCGAGCAGGGACCTCGAGGAAACCGCAGTTAGGGAATAAAAGCTTTCCCTTTTGGGTCGCCCCCCAGGATGGGGTTGAACAGTAAATATCGTCCTCCACGACCCCTCACCGCCCCCAAAAAGGACCGAGCGGAGGGTGCGATCCCTCCCCCAGTTATTTGTGCGGCGTTTGGCTGTTGCAGGCTCTAACTTCTCCCTTCCTTCTCCTTTTAGGACTGATCTCCCGGACCACTCTGCGCGGGAGGACCCATCGAATGCACTCTGTGAGCTCAGGTTTTTAATGTTTCCCAGCCAGCCTGCTGGCTGCTCATTATGGTCGAGAACAAAATGCTACGCTCGAAAAGAAAAAGAAAGAAAAAAAGTAAAAAAAGAAAAAAAAAAAAAGCGAGAAAAAGCCTTCCGTGAATGTACCAGGCTCATTTTTGCAGGACCGTGCCCCTCGTTGTTTTGTCTGTAACAGAGAAAGCTCTCCCTTACGCCTTTGTTAGAGTTGGGCATTCTCAAGCTTCGCGTCCTCACGGAGATACTATGGTTATACACTAAAGGGAAGAAATCGCCATAGGAGCTGGGAACGGTTTGGGTTGGTTTGTTTGTTTGTTTCCTCTCCGCTAACCTTCGAAATAAAGAATTTGAACGTGTTTTTCCTCTCTGCTAAATGTCCTGCTTTGCCAACGAGAGAGAGATGGCAGGGTTTGATTATTAGTGAGTTAATAGTGAATTAATACCCGTTGTGTTATCAGTGCTCAAAGGAGAGAGGGAAGGGGAAAAAAAAAGGAAAAAAAAAAAAGAGAAAGCACCTTGTAGCAAACAAGAATTTATTCTACCAAAAATACTTATGACAACGCATCCTAATGCAATACAAAAATAAAAAGAAAGTGACGATACGATCCCTATATGATCACTTTCTTACAGACCTCATATATTGCTTTCGTCGAAGGACCTAGAACGTGGCTAGGTTAAAACCGAAGACAACTAAAACTTGGTCAGAATCGGTAAAATGGCACGGTGAAGGGAGGGGACAAACAGAATGTACCGACCGGGGGGGGAGGGGGAAGGGGGGAGGAAATAAAATTAATTCACTGGGAAAATAATAATAATAAAGGGGAGGAACGAGGAGGAGAAGGCAGGACCCTGGGAGAGGACGTCTTTAATTTCTCAGTAATTCAGATGCTGCAAGTCAATCGTGGTGAGCGTGTCTGTAAAAAAGTCAAAGCTGTCAGCGGAGATATCTACGGGGCTGTCCAGAGAGCCCGGCAAACTGGGGGAAACCGCGTCTGAAAGCTGGAGGCAGGAATCTGTGGAGAAAACGTTGAAGTCCTGTAAAGAGGGGACCTCGAGGGCCTCAGGACTGTCATTGTTGAGGCCAGCTGCGCAGTTCTGGGCCATTGTTGAGAGGCAGTTTTGAACAGTGGGTGACTGGTGTTGAAAATGTTTCAGATTTTTCTCATTGCTCGTTAAAGGCGAAACGGGGAAACTTTGGGATTCGCCATTGTGCGCATTCTGCGCCTGCTGCTGCGAGAGCGCATTCTGCTGAAACGCGTACCCCTCCCTCTCCAGCAGCGCTCCCGAGACGGTGCCGAGGGCTTGCTCGAAGAGGGCTTTCTCCTCCTCCTCGTCCTCCGCCGCCTTCTCGGGGTCTTCCAAACCCTTAAATTTCCCCTCGCCGTTCTGGTTCTCCTTGCACTGGGTCTGCCTCTTGTGCTTCATCCTGCGGTTCTGGAACCAGACCTTCACTTGCCTCTCGGTCAGATCCAGCAGCGCTGCTATCTCGACCCGGCGCGGTCTGCAGAGGTACTTGTTGAAGTGGAATTCTTTCTCCAGCTCCAAGAGCTGCGTGTTGGTGT